ATACCCTTTGGTTGGTTGATGATGCATGAAGGGGATTGTAACCATGGCAATGAAACAATATATGTTAGAATGAATGTAAAACTAATGTTCTCCCATGTAAACTATCACATAATTCACAATAAAACATTTAAGAAAAAATGGTCATAGGGCAAATGAAAGGGGGTTATGGGGATTGTGGCTGTCAATGTTGGCCAGACTGTGAAGAATCTTGGATGCCAGGTTGAGGGGTTTAGACTTTTTATTGCAGGTGGTGGTGTTTGAGGACTGAGGTTTTGTGGGCTTTAGAAGTCTAGCTGGCAGTGTGGATGGTGGGTTGGTGAATGGGTATATACAGGAGAACACAAATAAAGGTGATAATAAAAACACTGGGGAGCCCAGGTGGTATAATTGGTTGGCGATTGGCTGCTAACCCAAAGTTTGGCAGTTCATACCCATCCAGTGGTGCCATGGAAAACAGGTTTGGCAATCTGTTTCCATAAAGATTCTACCCAGGAAAACCTCTGGAGTGGTTCTGCTCTATTACACATGGAGTTGCCATGAGCTGGGGCTCCTTGATGGCAACTACTATTACCAACAACAACATAAAAACACCGCCCATCTGTCTTGTAAGAATTTAAAATACCAGCCAGGCTATCTATGGTGGGCAGGATTCAACAGATTCAACAGGATTCCAGATTAAGACACAGTAGGGAGAAAGGTCTGATAACCTACTACTGAAGAGTAGCCAATGCAAATCTTACGGCTCACAACAGAACATTGTTAATCAGAATACACAGTGGCTACAACTATGGATTCCAGCATGCCAGTGATCATGAAGATGACATAGGAGCAGGCAACATCTTATTCCGCTGTCCATGGGCTTGCCATGAACCGGAGCTGACGTGACAGCAACTAGCAACAACATAAAAACACACCCTTCCATTGGCGCTTGACTATAGCCACACAAATGTTCTTTTGGCTTCATGTTTAGTTCTTTTCTACTCACAGAAAAGCTTTTGGAGTGAATGCTCCCCAAGGACAGGCTTCCTGTAAAGTGTTCTCTGCCCTGCCCTCCTCCTGTACCTTAGTTTGAGCTGGAGTCCATGTTTAGAATGTTCTGCTCATGGGGCAGAATTCTACAATGTGATCAATATTCAACTCAAATTCATCTGCCGACTGCAGTCTCCCTGGTGGCATATTTGCCATTAGATTATAACTGCAGTTAGGACTTCAGTGTTCACTGTTAGTATGGCCTTCTGACTCTGCAGTCCCAGCCTGTGCCTGTTCCAGTGGGAGCTCCACCCTGCCTGCACCAGAGATCGTGGCTACTTTCTTCCAACTTATTTGTCTCCTGCACTGCCAAGAAAAGAGCCCTGGCAGCTCAGTGTGTA